TCCAGACACAGGTACCAGAGCCCATTAGTAAGATCTGTGGATATATTTGGGAAGCTAGAGCACAAGGGCTGAGGTTTGCACTAATGAGCTTCAAACCTTCACAGCTGGCAAGGAGAAACAGAGCTGAGCTATTTGCATTTCTGTTTATGTGAATGCTAGTACTTCACAACGTTGGCGTATTACAAATTGTACCTCTACAATTTGTTCCTGGTCTAGACTGGATGACAGCTCTTAGAGCTACCTCCTCATTCCTCTTGACTGGAATTCTCAAGAAAGCCATGCCAAGAACTTACTTTCTAACATGAAGTGGAAGAATGTTCCTTTCTTTCTCCATCACTGCTTCTCCTCCCCTCATTCCCTGCGACAGGGTACTTGAATATCACAGACCAGGTGATATTAAGCTTGGCAATTTTCACCTTTTCTCCCTCAGGTTGCTTAACTGGCACTTGTATTGCGTCTTTTACTTTGCATATGGGTCTTGCTAGAATCATAACCCTCCTACAGCCTTGAATACATGAATATGAGATTTAGGAATATTATTCCTCTTGTCATGCATCCTCAGAAATAAGTGCTCAGAAACTTGAAAAAACACACATTAAGACAAAGAAAAAATAAAACAAAAAAAAACACAGCTAAAATGCTATGATTATGATAATTAAAAAGTCTATATATTTTGCATTCTAATAAAAAAATAAATAAACAAAAGATAAATAAATAAATCTGTCAGAAAGCTAGTGTATTTTGGGACAGAAATCTTCCCTGAGAGGTGGCTGAAGCTTGCTTCTTTTCATTTTTTCAGAACAAGCTGAAAAAACTCTGAGAACATTCTGCAAGGATGATTATTGAGAAATAGCTCTTCAAGATGTACAGAGTTTCATACTTCTCCCAGTTTTGCATTTAAAAAAAAAAAAAAAAAAGAAGTCATACAAGAAAATTTTCACAATCAATGTAAAATCCAAAGGAGAAAGTTGTGTGATCAAATTACAAAGACAAAAGCCAAGCATAAGAAATACCCTGAAAGTTATCATGCGTATGACTAAACTACTCAAACTGTAGCTCACCTACTTTCATTCTCTTACCTGAAGAATGATTAATACTACATTGTGCCATATAAATACTAGGCAGTATTTAAATAGGTCCAAAACATCTCATGAAAATGTACATAACTCTTTGAGAAATTACACCTAAGTATACCTAAAACACAAAGGATGCAATTTGAGCCCTATGGTTTGTCTGGTCACTTGGACATTCTGGCATAGAGAGAAGGAACACAGCAAATACCACCTAAGCTTCTATTCAAAGCTTCACAGGAGACAGTGTAAAACTTATTACAAAAAGTAATGGGAATTTTATGGCTGCTGCACACATAAATGGAAATGCAGCAATAAATTTACCACACTCTTGGAGTGCAGCACATACTACATTAATTTGAACTAACTCAGTCTGCAATATTATCTGATTTTTTTATTTCGAAGGCAATTATGGAATTCAGGAAAAAAAAAATAATAAAAAACCCAAAACATTCCACCATTATATTTTTCTTCTAATTCTTCCATTTCACTTAACACCCCCCTCTTCCTCCAGCTTTAGATGTAGAATAAATTTGGTTAGAAGCAAACTCTGGAGGTCACCTAGTCCAACCCCTGCTTACAGAAAGCCTGATTTGGTCAGGATGAGAAGAAATTTGTTCCCTCAAGACTAGAACACCTGGTTGTGGATGGAGTTGACAAACTTCACTTGTAAGAGAGAAGCAACAGTATATTTATAGATATAAAACAACAATTTTGTGTCTATAACAATAAAGTATAGTAGTAAATGTGACAGTGTTTTAACAAGATTCGGCGGCAAGGCACACTTGATTATTTGCTGCATAGAGGACAGGGTCAGTCAAAACTGCCAGGCAGACCCTCCTGTTCCCATGAGGTTCAGAAAGGAGCCCCTTGCATTCTAAGCTCCTTCTCAGAGAGAAGTGCAACTGGATCCAGACTTTGCCCCAAACTTGGTCAACAACTTATGTCTAAAGGATTATATGTGCACAATCAACCCTTTATATCACTTAGCTAAGATTTCTAAGTTTTGCACTTACTGGGTGTCTGATGCAATAAGGAATCTCTCAGCCTTGGGGAGTAACCTTGAGATGCATCCCTACTCAAGAGAAGATCCTGGCATGCAACCCTGTGAGAAACATGCTCACTTCTAAAAAACTTTATTAGGGACAAAGTCAGTGGATCAAAGAAAACAGCGCTGGTCGCATGACCATAGCCAGAAGCCCACCGTTATACCCGTACACAAGCTTTTCATCCATTTCATATTGCATCAGCTGAACACGTATTCATAGTTATCCTGAGAACAGGGAGGAATTATTACGATTGCTTCTCGGAAAGGATTTCCCTAAGTCTGCCCTGGTCTCCTTTGGCGCATGCTCTCTGCCTCCTGGTGGTCATCTCGGGAGTCTTTGGGGATGAAGTAAGACAACTTCCTCTAAGGTGAACTTTTCACCCTGGGTCTTGAGCCAGCTCTTACCAGTCCTGTGGATGTTAGTTCTTTCAGTTTCTTTCACTGGTGTTACATTACAGGATGGTCATGATTGATAAGCCTTTATCTTGTGCAGGCCACATATGCTTGGTGAAAGCAAAATTTCGTTGACCCTTCATTACCTCTCACAGCCCCCTACTGTGCAGGAGAGCCCAGAGGGTTCTGGACTATCCATTATTTATGGAATAAGGTAATTGATTTATAGTCGTATTTGTACAGTGCCTAGACATGCTTCTTCCAAAGTTGGCTTGAGCCTGACCTTAACCAGCACTGGGGTTAGGGAGTGCATTGCTCAAATTACATTTAGCTATCGTGTTGTTGTCTGTCTCCCCTGAACCTACGTTGAGCCTTACACAGCCATCGCACCCAGACACACCATTACGACTGCTGGTGGGGGTTATCAACTGAGCAGGGTTACGGGAAATAAAGCTGAGGCTGGGGGTGGTAGAGGACAACCCCGAGGGCTCTGCGCAACTCACTCGAGCACCTAATACCCCTCAGTCAGAGCAACACGGCTACCGCTGCGGAGCTGCGGCTGCGCCGACGTACCCTTACACCTACACCGCCACAGCCCCGGCCGCGCACACAACACCCGCACCATGCTCTCCCGCTACCGGCCCTCGGCGGGGCAGGACCTCCCGGCCGCGCCCCTCCCCTCCAGCCCCGTTTCAGGCGGCAGCGCGTTCCGCCGCGGGCAGCGGAGTTCGGGAAGAGGCGGGTTTGGATACCGTTCTGCTGAGCGCGGCAGAGGTTAAACTGCCCCCAGGGCACGGTAATGCATTCGGAAAACCCCCTCAGATCGTGCTGCCGCCTCTGACGACGCCGTTACAGCTCCGCGGTAGCTAGGACAGCTTACTGGTACTTAAGCGTTCTACCGATAAGGATCAGAACTACTTGTGAGACCTGCCCGAGGCGCTCACACACAGTTCAGACACCTCCCGGCAGAAAAGCCCTCATCCAGCGCAGGTGCGACCGCGCGTCCCTCGGCTCCTGCCACTGTCCCCCATCCCATAGGGGAAATAACAGACGCTTGGTGGTGTGGCTGCTGCCGCCCTGCAGAGCTCCGGCTCTGGCGCTGCAAAGACGTGACGGCTTCATGCTGTGGAAGGCAAAACTACTATAGTTCAGCACCGCGTTGCGCAATAGCACGGTCCGGTTACACACAGAGGAACATTTACTGCCCAGTCGCCTTTCACTCCATTACAGGTTGAGACTCTGCCCCCCCTTCCTAATTTGCATTTTACTTCACCTACAGAATGATCATGGAATCATTGAATGGCTTGGGATGGAAGGGAACTTAAAGACCAGTATATACTTCCAGCCCCCTGCCATGGGCAGGGACACCTTCCAGTAACCAGGTTGCTCAAAACCGCATCCAACCTGGCCTTGAACACTGCCAGGGTTGTGATTCTTAGGATGAACCAGCGTTGTGTTGACAGTCCTACAATCCCCTTGCTGGAGCTAGCACCCTTCTGAAATTAAAGTTCAGCCAATGACAGCCTTTTAGTCTCACATGCTTCAGCTGTGCTGATTTAGGCAAGTGTTTGATTCACTGCTGCCCCCCATACATCTAATCAAGAAAGTGTGTCCTGGGATTCTCTTGTTTGACATAGGGCTCCCTGTTGCAAACTTTAGTCACAAACCACACTTCTCCACTGGAGGGGGAAAAAAGATTAACATAGAAGCCTAATGACAGAGAACAAAAAAGTCGGAAGAAAAACAGGAAGTCAGCAAACTAAGCTAAACCCTCAAATTCCCTTTACAGGTGCCCTGAAAAAGCGGCTGGAGCTACTGTCTTGACTCCAGCTGGGTCTCGAGATACAGCCAGCCTAGCGCAAAGGAAAGCCGGTCCCGCAGCCGCTTACTGCGTGCCTGTGGTGTTCCCTCCCCTCCGCCCCCAGCTACCCAGGCTTATGGCGCTGCCCGGCTCTCATCACCCACAGCCAGCCCCCTCCCTCACCGCTGCCCGGCCCCACTGTTCCCCACAGCCACAAACGGCCACCGAAGAACAGCTTCCCCCTGCCCGTCCAGCCTCTGAGCTTTCAGTAGGAAGAGCGCAGCCGCCGCCAGAGCCCAGAGCCCAGCGCCCAGCTCAGAACTGCCGCCAGACCCGCAGTTTGGCGCGGGGGGTTGTGGGTGACGTAGTACCTGCCGCGCCTGCGGGCCCTAGCGGCCGTGGCGCTCCATGTCCTTCGCAAGGTACTGTGGGTGTTGTAGGAGCGGACACACGAGCCAATAGAAGCTGTCGTTTCCAAAGCGCTCACGTACTTATATGGCACTCGCGGAGGGACGTGTTTTCCTTTTCTGATATCATTGGCCAATAAGAGGGCGTGGCAGCCGAGCAACTCCTTTCTCGAACCAATCGGAGTGGGCCATGTAGAGCAGGCGGTTCCCCGGGAGGAGTGCGTGTGCTGCCGCTGCCAGCAGTCGTGGTTGTTCGTCAGCGCGACCGGCAGATTGGTGCGGGGCAGTGGGCGGGGCGAGGAGGCCGGAGTCAGGAGGCCGGAGTCAGGGCCCCTCGGCGTCGGTGGCCTTTCGGGAGCCTAGCGGGATGGGGCAGCGGGCGCGCCTCTCGCTGCTGTTATGCCTCGTGGTGCTTTGGGTCGCAGGACTGACCGCCGCCGGTGAGTACCGGGGTTCCGGCTTTCCGCGCCCCGCTCGGCCTGGGCATTGCGTTGGCCTCGCCCCCCGTGGCCTGCTGCGGAGGAGCCGGGTGCGCGCTGCCGTGGTGTCTGTGGGAGTCCTGGTGCCGCCGCTGGGGCGTGAAGGCGGTGACAGCGGGGGAGGGGTCCTCTGTGTCTTCGCTGAGGCTTTGGGGTGTGAGGGTGCAGCTCTGTCCTGGCCAGGGCGCTGAGGCGGCGGAGGGGAGGAAGGGAGCTGAGTTCCTGTCTGCTGCTTGGCCGCGAATAGCCGGGCTGCTGAGGGGCGGCGGGCCCATAGCTCACCTTGTGCCTGCTGTTTTCCGGGGGCCAGTTTAGCTTGGCCTCTGCCTTTGAACAGCTCGTTAGAAGCCTACTTTGTAATGCGTGCTCTGTTCAAAACCAAAATGAGACTTTTTTTTTCCTTACTAGTACATATTTTCTTGCTGAGGAGCTGATAATGCTGATGTTAGTGTTATCAGAACAGTTTTCTTACACATATATATAGAGCATTTCTGCGGCCTGCATTATGTCGCAATAAAACCTTTTTTCCAGTTTCTTTTGTTGTTGTGCAGCATGGTTTTTGTATGCTTCTCATGTGTTGTCACCTGCTTCCTTTCCTGAGGTTCCTACCTCCCACATCCTTCTTTCCACCACGGGTGGGTGGGAGAATGTGCAATGCATTTATTTATATAGTGTTTCTAAAGGCAGAAAGCACTCCTTTAATAGACAGCCTTATCCACTGCTACTGGGGATGTGCTTTTAGGCTGCCAGTGGTATTTCAGGAAAGTAACTTAAAGCTTTCTCTAGAGCTAAGTTGTGTGGTTTGGGGTTCATTACTAGGAAGTTGAAATATAAAGTAATGTTACTGAAGTTCAGATACAGATTATGCAGTTAAGATACCAAGCACAGTTACATGAGCTTTGTAAGTATTGCTGCAAGCCAGCAGGACTCTTGGCAAGGTGTGGAGAAGGTACGTAAGAGTTCTGTAAAGCTAGAGAGATGTACCTAGACTTCTAATGGCATGTTTTCACAGATAGTGTATATAAAGACAAAAGCTAAGGTAAAATGAGACTGGCAGTGTTGGATGAATCATCTGCTGTGTACGTGGAAGTGTGGATGTTAGGTGACAGAATTAAGGTCTGTTCAGGTGTACGCATATGCTATGCAATCCTTTTGACTGTTTGTCCAGTATCACAGAACTGTGTGAATATGAAGTTCCGATAGCTTAGTTCAGCCTTTCAAAACTGTATGCTTAGAATCAATTGAACTAATAACGATTAGTAGGCCCAAGAAAGCACATGGTATAATGTATGAAGGATTAGAAGCTATTGCCAAACTTAAATCACTACTGTGGGGTAAACTGTTGATTAATAGCCAGAATTAATTAGGAGAAGGTGTACAGAGTCCAGCTTTTGGCAGCAAATTGCAATAGAAGCATCTTTCTTGCTCAGATTTTTGTCAAGAATCATTCTGAAGTAAAATAAGTCATCACATCGTCAGTGTTTTGATTTCCTACAGTAACACAACCCCTTTCTCCAGTCTGGTACAAGCTTAGAGACTGTGTGTTGAATGCTTCCTTAAACACTTTTTCATTCCTAATGTCTGGTCTGGAAACAGTCATCTAGAATGTGAGTATGTTGAATGGAGGAGTTTTAAGAAGGATGAGTAAAAATGGTTTAAGTATGACATTTTCTGACTTCAGAAGATGGTTTTTAATGGGGTGGGGGTTTTTTGTTTGTTTTTTTTGTTTGTTTTTTTACTAGTGGGTCTTTTAACTATAGCTTTAAACCCTAACTCTGTACTCATAAACTTTGCTTAAATGCTTAAATCAGTTTATTGAGAACTGGAAGTGAAGGCAAGAAAATTCAGGCCAAAAGAAATGGGCGCTATATTTTAAAGTTATTATATTAATACAGATTATACAGAAATTGCACACTGGGGCCTGGGGAAAGAATATTAAGGAGTCTATGGGCAATTGACAAAAGCAGCAAAAAAACAGTGACTGTGTGCGTGTTACAGATGAAGCTGCGTATCTTCTGCTTACCACAGCAGCGATGGCCTACTGCTGCTTCTGTTGATTGTTCATTGAGAATGTTGAAAAAAACTTCCCATTTTTTTCTGATTGATGGTAGTGTTTGATTCTTTTTTTTTTATTTTTCTATTTTCCTCAGACTAAGTGGTAGAAATTCTGTCATTCTACCGGAAGAAAGCAGAAGTGATTCGCAGTCTGACTGGCCTTCACCTTCCATGGTTAATTGTAGTGACAGGCAGAGGTTTTCATACTGTCTCATTAACTGGTAGGGCAGATAGGCAGTCACATACTTGTAGGAAGCTCTGTACCTAGTCTCTCAAAAGACACAGCTCAGTGGCTTTCCCTGACCCTTCTGATTTTACTTACTTAAATGAAATATGTTCCCTAAACTTGTTTCCTGATAAGGAATCTCAGTTCCTACAGAGAAACTGCTGGAGAGTAAGCTTTGTAAATAGTTATCCAGCAATTGCAAGGGGACTGGAAAAAAAATATTTGTATTCAGTGTGAAGGCTGACCTATATCTTAAACATGAAGTTGCACTAAAATGAATACACTGCACAGATTGTAGCTAGGAACAATTTACTTGCTGCCAAGGATATTTGAAATCAGTCTTGCTGAATAGATGCCACTTAAGGATTTTGCTTAACTCACTGCATGCTTTAGAGGTGTGCATAATAGGAATAGCGTCTATGCTACAGAGTCTGTTTCTGTGCTGAATTTAAAGTTGAAAAAGTCATGAGAAGCAATGTCAAGTAATATTTTTCTGAATATTTCTTTTTTTCCTGCAAGAATGGTATAAACAGGCTTTGAATTCTCTTTTGAAGTCAAACTAGTCAGTTTCACAGAAAGAACATTGAAAGAAATAACTAAAAGTACCACAGAAATATCTCTGATGGATACTCTAAAGCAGTTGTTGCCAAGCCTTTTTTGCTCATATACCACTCTCATTAAAAGAAAAAAAAAATTAAGCATGCATCTTCAATGTTGAACTTACTAAAAAATTTCTGTGTACTACTGTACTAACGTATTATGCACGTCATAAAACATGCGCAAAAACAGAAATTAAAAAAGTGTGATAAAGGTGAAATAAACACTATTAAGAGAAGTTTTTATTTATTAGTGGTACAAAAAGTATTTTCTTCCTGCACCCCCAGTGGGTTGGTTCGTGCACCCACTGGGATGTACATCACTTCAGACTCTTACCAGTTGCTTTGTTGTAATTGTGTTTGAAGTTTGAAGAGATTGGCAGAAACTGAAGGGAAACTGGCTACAGTGATAGGGCATTCATCAGAACTTTGGGAGATAGCCACAAAGTTTTTAAGTGCAGGCTGATGGCAATTTCCCAAAGGTGAGTGATCATTCTAATGTCAAAACTAATAGTATTTCTTGCCTGGTAGTAGCAGTAGTTTTGCTTTATAGATTTGTCAGTTGATTTGTTCTTCTAATACAGCAAAACTTTGGAACTGCTGGGCTTCCTCAAGTGAATGACATTCTTGCTGATTCACACGGTGTAGCTCTTCTTGTTTCTACCCCTCTCTCCATAGTGCTCTCTTGAAAATGGTATTTCTCACAAAATGATAGGATCTTTATCCAGCATATGGTAGGATCTTTTTATCTAGCATAGACTGCCAGAGTACTTTGCTATATTTAAATTGACTGAACACTGGTATTTCTAATTGAGGAAAAATGAATAAATTTTAAAGCTGATTTTAAATATATATGAAGTGGTGGATGGCTGAAACAAGTGTTTAGCTCTCTGGAGTGCTTTGGAGTCGCAGGTGGGCATGAGAGCATCCAGTAGTGTCTACAGCTCAGCACTGTATGTAAGTGAAGCATTCTGTACAATGCTGGCAGCTGCCCGTTTCAGCTACAAGTGGTTTTGCCTACTTTTTACTTTTAATATATTGTTACATCTCCCTAATTCATTTAACAAATGGTAGGATTAATTTCCAGTTGGCCTTTTCAGAAGAGGTTTATACAATTAGGCAGCCTTGGTAACAGACCCAAATTAAAAAAAAAAAAGAAAGGAAAAAGAAAAAGTTACTATTTTTAATGTAACTGTGGAAAACCAAACTAAACTATCAGCTTTAATCTCTGAAGCAAGTGTACAAGCATAACATCTGTGACTTTGTTCAGTAGTTGAGCTTTGACTAGTGAACTGTTCCTAGGTGAAACTATGACCTTCCATAGATCTTTCATTAACACTTTCAGAACAGTTTTCTTAACTGCTTCTTAGAAGTAGACACACTTCTGTGAGTAGCAGGTGTGTATTAGTCAGCACTTCTGCAAAATAACAAGGCTATAAATGATCCTTCCTCTAGTCACATTATTGGTCATCACTGCAACCTCATCTGCCTAACTTAGAAGGAACTCCCAGAGCTGAGAAGAGTTAAACTTACATTTTGTTGTTGCTTTAGTGCTGTTTTGGAACTACTGTTTTGAAAACAGTTCTTCAAGTACAACTTCTTAGGAGCAAAGCTGGCTCCTTTAGAGAGAATTTAAATGATGCAATAGAAATGAAACAGGTTTATTTATTTTCAGGGAGGAAGAGTAAGCATTTAATGAGCTCTACCTTATGTTGCACAGATATCTCTTACCTTTCAATTCAGTAAATCTTTTTCTCTCCATATGAGGTTACAATAAAATTGTTCTTTAATAAGTGTCCATAAATGCTATACCCTCTTTATATTTGACTTTGTGTGGTCATTTCTTGTAAAGTCAACCTTCCACAAATTGAAATCAGTTAATAAAGCCTTTACCAAAAAGTTAGAATGGTCTAATGCTGTCAGTCACGTAGGCTGATTTTAAGCAGACCAAACAAAACACCCTAGCTGGTATGGCTGTTAAAAACAACATGATGTTTGTTACTGCAGGAACAGGTATTGTATCACTGCTTTGTATATATTAATAGTAGCATACAAGCTACTTGGTAGGTTAACCCTGTTTTCATTTTCTCCTACTCCAGAAGCATGTATGAGTCTCTTGACAAGCTCTGGAGTTTGAAGTTGTAGGAGTGGCATTTGGTTTTAGGATGGTAGCATGTAATTTGTGGGAAAACAGGTAAACTTGACTTTGTCTCATGGTTTCAAAATGCAAAGGACCAGAAAGTATCATAAATGCATATGTACTTTTACTGTATTTAAATAAACAACTGTTACATGGTGATCTGAAGTGTTGAAGTTCAGTGATAGAGCTTCCTATGACTTATCACAATCAGGCTTATCAGATTCCTCAAACTGATAAGCACTATGGTCTCTGCCAGAAATGCACCTGTTTTTCCCTTGTTTTTTCCTTATGCTGCTTTTAATGTTTTTTTTCAAATCTGTGTGTTCTTATGCTGTCTTGGTTGCTACTTGCAGGGCCTGTTTCATCTGGAGTGACCTTTGCTGTCTCCACTAGTTTTTCTGAAGGGCTCTACATGCATTCATTTCCGAACGTGTAGGTTACAGACGCTTACCAACATCATCTGTTCTAGATATTTGTGATCCTGTGTCTGCTAGCTGTCAGACTTCTTGAGCTTTATATATTCTTCGTTATGTTCAACAGAATATCATCTCTTTGTCTCAGTTGCACTATCAAACCCGTCACCTTAGTTTTGCAGCTTCACTTGTAAGTCTTTGCATTCCTTCTTGATTTTTATTTTGTGCTGGTTTAGCTTGAATTTGATTCTCATCTTTTTACTTGTTCTAATCAAAGGTTATATTTCAAATAACAATATGGAAATCACTTTCTGGAACCTGACTTCCAAGATTAGCCCTTTCATTGCACTGTTACAGTAATAGTCTTCAGAACATGTACTGAGTGGCATGTCTGTAGTTTGTCACTTCAGAGATGATTTCTCTCTGATAAGGTACTTTATTTGCATGAGGATTAGAAGTATGTAAGTTTTCTTTGCTACCAAATGGTTATCGAAAGTTATCAGAATTCTATAAACTTTTAATTTTGTTGGCATTCAGTGTTTGTCTTTAATAGCTAACTGTAACGTATTAATGGTGTATTTCATGTACAGGGCACTACTATCAGTTTAAGTACTTTTTCTAGTCACAGTGCAGGTCTCCAGCCTTTCAGTGTCTTACCACTGCTATAAGGCATTATACATCTCAGAGTCTCAGAAGGGGTTTTCTAAATGTAGTAGGAGTTAGTGGCAGATTTGCTTAGTTATCTTTTTATACTTTGAGCTTTTATTTTGGTTTAACTGAGTTGTGTACCAGAGAGAGGGAGGTCTGTAGCACCTTCTTTCAAATGTGTGTGGGTGAATGGTTGTTTATCTAAATGAGGTAATATCAGATACTGATGACTGAGAACAGTCATGTTATGGCAGTGATAAACTTAGAGGCTTTAAGTCAAGATGTGTATGAACCACGTTGTTTGAAGCACAGTGAGTAGCCCATTTAAGTTGCAGGAAGAAAGGAAATGAAACACAACTCTGCAATCCAGTGGTAAAACTGTCATAAATAATATTTTCTGATTATCTCCTCCTTCCTTTTCACCTCTATTCCTTTACATCTCTTCCTAATAGCATTTCTTTTTTATTTAGCATTTTTTCTCTTTCCAGTCTTTCTAACCAAATATCATAGCCCATTCAGATAAGAAAGATGACAGTTAAACAAGGCTTGCAGCTTTTGAACAGTATCTTGAAGACAATCTAGTTTCTCACAGTTGTGGAGAGAGACCTCTATATAAAGGTTTGAATATGCTGGTCAGGCAAAATGAACTGGCTTTCTGTAAAGAATAGTGGTTAAATAGGGTGGTGTTAATGTAATTTTCTGGTCACTACCAAAGCTGTTTATATTAAAGTTGATTTAGTGACTAGAAACCTTAAATTCCATTGACGCTTTTCAGTTGATTCATACCTCTTTACTTAGTTTAGTTGGACTGGATTGATTCAGACTGTGTATCAATCTAGAGGATTGATTCAGGTTAAAAAAAAAGAAAAAAACACTTTTTTTCCACTGTTGGATGAACAGTTGTGTTGGCATAACTTAAGAAGAAGAGGATCATCTGTGAAATATTTGATTCCTCCTGACAACACTAATAGTCTTTCTGAAGTGCATTAGTCAATTTAGTACATTAGAATATCTTAGAAACATGGTACAATAATATAGCTAAATTTATTTTTAAGAAAATAATTAATGGAAAGGCTTTTCTGACTTATGACATCTCTTCTAGATGAAGAGGGAAATCAGGATGAATCACTGGAGTCAAAGGTGAGGAAATAAGTTTCTGGTCATTCTGTTTTTCTTGTTTCAGAGCAAAGGTCTGAAATTGAGAACTATAATTTGATTCCTACAGTAAACTGTTCTGTAACTCTTGCTGTCTCATTAGTTTCTTCTGTGCATCATAAGAATTAATGTTGTGTTATGCTTGAATAATTTTTTCTCTTCAAAGAACTGAAAGGGGTAGAGTCAATGAAAGCTGATAGAGGTAGTTCAACTTACTTTTTATGCTACTGTTTAAACTCTAGTATTTTAATAATATCTTTAAGAGTAATGTGGGGTTTTCAGCTGCTGGTCAGTTTCTAATTGTGTAAATTATGTGGCTGCTTTCCTTCAGACTTTATCTGCAGAGGACCAGGTAAAGGACCATTCCACAGGAACTCGAGTGGTAGCAGGTCAGATCTTCCTTGAATCAGGGAAATCGGACTCTCAGTCAGAGGACGAAGAGAACTTTCACAGTCAAGAGGAGGAAAAAGAAAATTCGCTAGAAGAATTGAACTCTCTAGAAATGTCAAATCTATTAAATAAAGACTTGGAAGAAGCAGAAGTACAGAGTCCAGGTAACTACTCATAGACTTTTGAACAAGTGGCAGTAAAGATGCATCTGAGCAACTTTGGCATGTGAATAAATACAAAACTAATAATTTTGAACATAAAATAACTAGCATCTTAACCTTTCTGGAATGGAATGGTATATTTCTGCCTTTTCCATTAGAAAATAACATCAAAAAGTTTTCAAGTATATCATGACTGAAATCTGAGTGGTTATTTTTAGATGCATTTGAAACAGTTTTCCATAATCCTTGTTGTTTCCATCTTGTTGGAAAGCTTTAACTATCAAATGGAGAAAACTTGATTTCTTCAAATAGGACTCAAGTATACATACTAAGCTGTGTATACATATACGAGCCATAGAAGGAGAAATTGCATCAGTGTTTCAGCCTCCGGCCTGTTTGCCTGGAGAAGCAGTTGAAGAGAAGGAACAAGTAGTGATGCAAAGACAAGCTTCCTAGAACAGCATTGGAAGCCTTAGGGCAACATCTAAATTGCATGTAGATTTCAGGAGACTTTTAAATATAGGTAAAAGCTTATGTCCTTTTGTATAAATTCCCAGAAAATCCTAGTAGTTCTTTCTTTTACTACTAATAAAAATATAAACTTGATATAATTTTCTTGACATGCAGTTAGTAGTAGGTGATAACTAAATGGCACAGTTGAGTACCCTAGCTTATGTAGCAAAGGCTTCTCAATTGTTCATAAAATGCGGCTCATAGAATCATAGAACCATAGAATAGTTATGGTTGGAAAATGACCTTAAGATCATCTAGTTCCACTCCCCCTGCCATGGGCAGGGACACCTCTCACTAAACCATGTTGCCCAAGGCTCTGTCCAACCTGGCCTTGAACACCTCCAGGGATGGAGCATTCACAGCTTTGCTGGGCAGCCCATTCCAGTGCTTCACCACCCTCACAGTAAAGAACTTCTTCCTTATATCCAATCTAAACTTCCCCTGTTTAAGTTTGAACCCATTCCCCTTGTCCTACCACTACAGTTCCTAATGAGGAGTCCCTTCTCAGCATCCTTATAGGTCTCCTTCAGATACTGGAAGGCTGCTATGATGTCTCCATGCAGCTGCCTTTTCTCCAGGCTGAAGAGCCCCAGCTTTCTCAGTCTGATTTCATACAGGAGGTGCTCCAGCCCCCTGATCATCCTTGTGGCTCTCCTCTGGACTTGTTCCAACAGTTCAATCTTCAACTTCACTGAAAAAATATGGTTACATGGTAATACTAGTATTAGTCTATCTTCTGAATTCAGATTTGAATGTGAAAAGAAAGCAGGAGTTACGAAATGAGCTGTTATGTACTAACTCTGACTGTTTTCTAATTAGCCACCCTTACTAATACAGAACTAGTATACAGTTCATCAAAACTCAGTAATAGGATTAACTGTTGGTGCTGATAGGCATGGTGTTGTACTGAAAAAAAGTATATAAAATCCACTAAATAGCTTGCTGCCACAAAACAATGAGCTAACAGCATACTTAGTGCAGTCTGTTTCAAAAGAAAACTTTGAGGTACTTCTAATCTCACACAGGAAGATGTAACCAGATTGCTTATTCCCTGGCAGCTACAGTTCTTAACTACACCTGTCAGAGTACAAGTGACTTTCAAAAACCACAAATTTAAAGTCTTGCACAGTTTTTGGAACCTCTTAGGAAGTACATAAGTGATGTGCATGGCAGGATTACTCATTTTGTCAAAGAAGCAATTCTGAAGGCAAAGTACTTGTATTCTGGTAGGGGGAAAAAGCCTGCCAAAGGGCAGCTTTACTGGCAGACTTTAACTGAGCAAGACAGGAGTCTAGCTCAGCTACATATGTTGCATCTCTTAAATGAGGTCCTGGTGACAGGACTGCATTAAGGGAGAATAAAGCATTTTTAAATAGTTTGGCTCCTGTGCATAGTCATGAGATTACACAGGGGACAAAAAAAAAAAAAAAAAAAGGATTCTTCAAGTTTCCACATGTATTTTGCAGGAAATTGAGCTGAAAAAAAAAATCCTCAGTAATTTAAAATTAGTACTACTTGGGCTTTTAACCTTCTAAGAAAAAGGTTGTCCTGTTCTCTTCTGATTAGTGAGGAGGTCTTTGGTGTATAGGAAATGGTATTTTTTTAGTTTAGTTCTTAGTCTTTTGTTTTTGTAACAATAGAGTTCTATATTGACAGTTTTTGCTGAAAAGTGCCCACGAGTTCATACAGAGCTGACAGTTCCTGCTGTGTTTATTTTCCTATTTGGAAGACTCTTATAGTAATTTAGTCAATACTTAAAAGTAATCTATATTCAGGGTTTCTGCAGAGTAAAATATGAGATGAGATATACCCAAATCAGGACAAACTATAATGATAAAATGCCATATAATCAGATATATTAAAACTGGTTAATTGCTACTTGTACACTCAATTTCACAAAAAGTAATCCTCTGAGTAAATTATTTACCTCAGTTTGTAGTTATTATTTAGGTATATAATAAAGTAGCTGGTGAGCATTTTATCCTGCGATTGCATTGCTGTTTTGCTGTAGGGTTTGTTACTATCTGGGGGGCAAAACAGCATTATAGTTGAATTTAGAACCTTTAAAAAAGTAAAGGAGAAGGAGTGTTGCAGAGTAATTTCATAACTTTAATGTACAGCTAACTCTCATGCAGAGCACTATAAAAATGTTTAATGTTCTATTACTCTCAGTACAAGAGAAGAGGGTACTGAACAATACAAGTAAAACTTCAATTTCTCAACTAATGTTAAAATCCTAGGCCTGGAGGTTGTTCAAATGACAGTCTTAAGTGGTCCCATCAGCTGCAGTTATATGTACACTTACCACAAGTTTGTGCATCACTCTGTGGTTAGCAGATACCTAAATTGATTCCAGGTGAATTGCATCTGGGTACATTATTTTTGAATGCAGCTTCTGAAAATAACATTTTTCCTTCTGTGTTATGGGGCAATTAATTTGGAGTGGTATGGTGCAACATCTGCCAAGGAATTGAATTATGAAGAGCAATTTGGAGGGCTAACTAATCCAGGAGACTTCCTTATGCTTCAAAAAATCAACATGAAATTTTATAATTAGTATGGTCTGTAGACATTACAATTATAAACCTTGAAAAAAGAACTAGCTTTCTCTATAACCAGAAGAATTACAAACTTAGCTTGGAAAAAGACCGTATCATTGAAATTCTCAATTTCATGGCTTTGCAAATGTCTTCAAATGAAGCAGAACACAACTGCTGTATTTAGCTTAGTGAAACAGAAAAATCTTTATAAAATGCTAATTGAAATAATTTCTGTATCAAAAAATGAAGATAATTCTTAGTCTTCATAGAAGATGGATTTTATTTAAAAATATTCCAGTATTAGAATTGGTAATATTTGAAGTCCTAATGCATAACAAATAATAAATCATGCTATTCAAAGTAATTTTGAATGCAACTTAAATGTATTGGCGAAGTGAAATAAAGTTTTTAATGTTAACATACACAACAGTAGAAAATTACTAGACTCACAACTTCATTTAAGTCTTGTCTTAGAGTTGTACGTATAAAGTGTACTTCCTAGTGATATTCAAATACTTTCAGTGTTGCACTTGGTGATGCAAGTTGTTCTGTGAAGATTATGTCAAACCTTGGGGCTAAAAGGAATGTATGTACTAGAATGCACTTTAAGGGTGGTCTTTTGCATCAGGAAGGGACTGCAGGGAAGACAAAGTGAAAGAAAGGGCAGTTTATTTTGGTAGGCAATAAAAATGTAAGAGATTTGCTTTCTCCAGTCTCAACTAAAGTATTTTCTATTGTGAGGTGTCATGGCAGGGGGCTTTGAAGTAGAGGATCTTGAGGTCCTTTCCAGTCTGAAGCATTCTATGATTTTTTGTTGCTTAGAACTAAAGGATATAAGAAACTTATACCTTCTGTTTCATTTCGTAATTAAAAGTAAGAATAATGTACTTTTAAGTCCTATTTAGAAATGTAATTACTTTTCCAGGCTTTTGTAAATCAGAAATTTTACTGAAAACTTTATTAAATGAGGTTCACAGAAATTGAAAACAGCATATGAGTGCTTTCCTGAATATAATAGGTGGCTTCAATTTGTGAAATAAAGGAAATCAGTCTTAATTCCTGAGTGTGTATTTCCAGTTTTGACAGCTATAGGGGGCACTGCAGATGGTGAACCTTGCCACTTCCCCTTTTTGTTTATGGAGAAGGAATATCCAGAGTGCACTGCAGATGGGAGGGAAGATGGCAGGCTTTGGTGTGCAACAACCTACGATTACAAGAAAGATCAAAAGTGGGGCTTCTGTGAAAGTAAGTAACTTGATGTCTTGTTCAAGTCCTTAATTGTTTTAGTCCTTTTCATGTTCTTTATTTCAGGCTCTGGAAGTCCCTGTTGTATATTAATGTAGGCTTTATACTGTGATATACAAGAAATTACAAAGGCAGAGTTCTCATGATGGAATATTATAATGCAAATGCCACCTCCCAGAACTATTTGGGAAATCTTGCCGTGGAGGCATCTACAAAACTCTTATTTTCTGAGGCTGTCAAGAGTATAGTGGTTTGACAATGTTTCCCATTGTATGCATTGATTTGTTGCATGAAGGCAACTCTTCTCTTAAAAGTGTCCTCCTGAAGGAGGAAACTTTTTCTTGTTGCACAGCTTGTTGTAGAGCAATTAAAAGAATATTTTAGCAGCAAATTTGCACATGGAAGATCTCATGTGAGAAGAAACTGTTTACCAAGATGCCCAACACACCTTTAGACAGCTGTTTGTAATCACTTGGGTCATTTAGTGGTCTTCAGAAACGTACTTCTGGTTGTATTTTCCCTTTAGAACGGCTGTGTAACTGGAGCTCTTAAGATACCTTTTTTTTTTTTTTTCCCTCCTCTTTTCTAGCTGAAGAACAGTCTAATAAGAGAAGGCAGATGCAAGAAGCTGAGGATGTTTATCAGACTGGAATGAAAATCCTTAATGAAAGTAGTAAAAAGGCTCAGAAGAAAGAGTAAGTCTACCTTCTCCACCCCAACAAGAAAAGTGACATAGCTCGTCACTGTAGCTTAACTGGAAAAGAACTTAAATGAGTTGCCCTTTATTGGACTTGGATCAAACTATGCAGTGTTAGTACTGGAAATAAATAGCAAATTTATGCCTGCTTTCCTCTGAATCCACTAAAAATTGTATAAGACTAATTTCTGAAGAATGAGTGTCATCAAAACATTGACTTAATGCTTGTAGATGAAAAAAAAAAAGAAAAAAAAAAGGAATGAAACAAGTATTCTGTTAACTCTGGTCTGTTTCTACTCTGTGTATATCCAATAACTGATGGAATAGTCAGCTTACCACTATAATTAAGAACAGCTATGTTAATTTAGAAACTCTCTGGTACTCAAGTTGGCAACTTCATCAGTTAAGTGGTAACTTCAGGCTGCTGACTATTATGTGAGCACTATTACAATATTAAACTTGTTCATGGAGATAAGGAGTGTATTTCTACTTCATCTGTCAGGGAAGCTGAAGCACAGCTAGAAATTGTCCATCACACCTTGGCAGAGACAAGTATCTGTCAGACTCTGACTGGTATTCTATTATATAAAATAGTGTAGGAGTTGTAAAACAATATTAGATCTTAGTTCTCTTGAATACTTCACCCTTTCTTAGAAGGTGAAGTTATGTCGGGAGCCAGGTGTGCTTCTGCTTGTTCTAAAGATAGAAAACAAGTCTGGGAATAGAACAGAGATAAAGAAAAATCTCAGATGCTCTCAAAGGTCCATGAGCATGCTTGATACTGCTGTGTTATAATGTTTAAGTTTATAATTTTTTTAATTGCTGTGAAACCAGATGCTGTGAAATTATTTTAGAGGACTATGGTAAGTTCTAAGGCTGAAGTAAAGGGGAGTTTCCAGAGAACTTTCTCATTGTTAGTATGATTGTTTCATCACAAAATTTATTATGTATATAATTGTCTTGCACCCAATCCTCATAGTAGTGTTCTCATTTGAATGATTTTGTTCTCAACAAATCAAAGAGACTCCATAGACTTTAAGTCTTCTTTTTTCTGTCATGATGTGGTACTCTCAGTGTAGTAGTCCTACATGATACCTAGTACAAGACTTAAAATTCTTGCTACAAAGACATGATCACTTTGCATAAGGAGTAGCGTGAACATTAAAATCTAGTTTGTCTATCAGATAAATCATATGAGTTGTTGCATAGGTTGACAATTCAGAGCTGGAACAGAGGTAGATGTATTTGTAGAAAATAGAGGCTAAAACAGGGGAATAAAATGCCTCCCCAGAATCTTCAGGTCTATGAATGCTTCTTTACATTGAGGTGACTAAGAAATTGTTTTCTTTCAAGAGCGTATCAATATCTTCTGAAAGCAGCTGACATGAATCATACCAAGGCGATGGAGAAAGTGTCTTATGCTTTGTTGTTTGGGGATTACTTGAAGCAGAACATACAATCATCAAAAGAACTGTTTGAAAAATTAACAGAAGAAGGTTCTCCTAAAGGACAAATGGTATGTATGTCCTTAGATTCTGCAAAAGTTCTTACAGGTTTATAAACTGTTTTATAGATTATACTTACTCTAAGGTGATTTTATAGGTTGTTCTTGTGTCCAGAATAGAATGACAACAGTTAAGTGGTATCTATTGCCTGGTTAAAAAAAATAGCAGACAGTTCTGCTTTTTTAAACTGTTCGAGAACTTGATGTAAAACATCTGATTCAGGAAATGTATTTTATTAATGCCTAACCCTGACTGCTGGTTGCTTTTACCTTTTAAAATTCCACCAGTGCCTTGCTTTATTTTAGAGGTTCTGCTTTACTGGGCTTCTCTATGCTGGTAGCATTACTGAGGGTGCAGTAACAAATAGCACCTGCACCCTCAAGGTAAACACATGGAAACAGTTTTTTCCCTTTTGAGTTAAAAAAAACATCATTAAACAGCCATTTTATGGCTTATTATAATATAGTATAGTGGCAGTCTTGTCATTTAATTTCTTATCTGTTCTGTCACTGACTAGATTGGGTGTATAAATCAAAAAATTGGTAGATAGAGGAGACTCCAGCCACCAAATCTCCTCTGAAACTGTGTTCTATTCTTGTGGCTTGTTGTGGCTTTTCATCTGCAGTTTTATCTTTGACTTAAGTAGATACACAAACACATTTATAATCTAGGAAGTTATAAACTCCTAGGAATCTTGAAAGCTGTTTAGTGGGATGGGACTTCCTTTGTCCATGTACCTTTGAACATCATAGAATTGTTTATATGTATTTGTACACATGTAATGTCTTAAATTGTGGGTGTTACCAGTTTTAATGTCTCAATATCTGAATACACTTACTATTTTTTTTTTTTTTGTTTTGGAAGTGTCAGCTTCTTTAGGAATTATTCCTGTTTCTTTTAGCTCTTTAGCTACCGAGTCTGCTGTTTCCTGTTTAATGTTGAAGTGCTGATTCAGCATAGACAGCAGGAACGTGTTTTCTCTAGAGATTTTATATCTTAATGAAGATCTTGACTTTTATTGGTCTAGAATTCAGTAGTGTCTGCATGAGGTGATTATTTTTGTGTGTGTGTGCACTTTTAGAATTATCTGGAATAGTCTTAGAACACTGAAATATAAACTGTTATCTTCTGTGCTAATAGTTTCTTTTCTGAGCAGCACAGCTGTAACAGGTGTTATAGATAGAGCAGTAACTATGTAAATTTTAAGAATAAAAATAGCCTGTGAAAAATCGTCAGCCAAACAGCTCTGTGCATCCTAACTGCTTATAGTCATAAATACAACTAACCCGTGGCAGAACATGTGCAAAATACGAAATTCATCTGTTAGACAGTAAATCAAACTGTAAGACTTCTATGCATAGGCAACTGAATAATTTAGAAACTTAGTGTTTTAAAAGGGTCAGGAAAGGCACTAGATGCAGGAGGTACCCAAGTGAAGGTAGAGCTTGTCATGTTCTTTGCAGCTTTGAATCATTGTTTGACTTTATACTTAAGTATTCCAGGAAAACTGGTTTCAAAGTATGTGCTGACAAACTTTATTTTATTTCTAGGCTCTTGGATTTCTATATGCATCTGGTCTAGGAGTCAATTCTAGTCAAGCTAAGGTAACATACAAATTTTCAGCGTGTGCTCTTGTATTTTATCTTGGAGGCAGATGTTATCTAAGTAACCTATGATTTTTTTTGTTTGTTTGTTTTTAAGGCCCTGGTGTATTACACTTTTGGAGCTTTAGGAGGAAATCTGATTGCCCATATGATCTTAGTAAGTAAGATAGTTTATTAACTTTACACATGAACAAATTTTGTAATATCTTAAAATTTTAATGTAAGGTTTACATTCATGTGAATACACTGTCCACATGTTAGATCATGATGCTTGCATTGCGTGGGCAATAGTATCCTTCCTGTTATTCCGTGTTAATTTAAGGAAAAGTCTGCTTATTCTAAGCTGTATACCACTATGAATTTAGATGGACCATGTTTGCATCTCTTGACTTAAAGCAGAAGTGTCAGATTTTTAATCTTTATAGGCTAATGAGAACTGTGAAAGCCAGAAATCTTTACAAAAGATCTTTATATATAAGATCTTTTATGTAGTTATGTATATTAATATAATTAGTATTGTGAGATTTGGCAATAAAGTGTAACATGTGTAAGTAAAAGGCTTTAGGTTTTTATTCATAAGTATCATTCTGCTTATTTGCTTTATCCTGAGTGCTATCTGAAGTATACTGGCTATGCTTAAACTTTAATTATATCAGTTAGTTGCTTTTAATGCAGACACAATGGACTTGGGGCCTTTGTTTTGCCTATTATTGTGTCATCAAATCTTGCCCAAGTGAGGTCAAAAAAGTTAGTAACCTGGCAAGCACTATGTTGTCAAATAACCGGTAGTCCCTTATTTTCATATTTTCCTTTCTAGGGTTACCGGTACTGGGTTGGGATAGGAGTCCTTCCAAGTTGTGAATCTGCTCTCACTCACTACCGACTTGTAGCTAATCATGGTAAAAGCTTGTTACTCTGCTAATGTTCTCAACTTTAGCTGTATTTTTATATTATTCGCCTAGAAGATACTATAAGTACTGTCAACACTGATAGTATAAAAATACAGAATTCCTGCTATTAAACAAGTTATCTGTTTGGCTCTGAGTCATGATATGATATGCTATTTTAATCTCTTATCTATTGAAATGTCTTTAATTCTTACAGAATGTGAAAGTAATTAATTCCATGTAACAGTCTGAAGCTCTGTAGGGATCTGTTTTTACTAAGTAGGAGTGTAATATTTGCATTGAACAAAACTGAAAATTTCTTACCTGTTTTCCAGTTGCTAGTGACATTTCTTTGACTGGTGGCACAGTAGTTCAGCGAATCCGCTTAGCAGATGAAGTAGAAAATCCAGGAATGGCAAGTGGTATGCTAGAAGACGACTTGATTCAGTATTACCAGTTTTTAGCAGAGAAAGGAGATGTGCAAGCACAGGTAAGATTAAGTTCACACGATGACATGCAGAGGTTGTCAAGAATTACAGAAACAGCTTCATGAAATACGGAAAGTCACTGGAGCTTTATAGTTTTTTTTCTTCCTCCTACATCAACCTGTTTGCTATTTCCTGTTTCGTTTTTATGAGAAGAGTCTCATATCTTAGTGTGTTTAAGGTAGAGCTTGAATAGAATATGGATTTTCTTTGTGGAAATTAAATTCAAAACATTACAGCTTTAGTATCTTGGGAAAAAGAATCTTGGCTTTCACTAGACAGAGTAGTTTAAGGATAGGTTTAGGTGTTACGAAGGAAGAACTGGACCCATCAGGGGACCTCAGTTTCTTGCTGTATCTGTTCTTACATGGCTTCTGCATGCTGCAGGCTGGCCCTCTTCTAGACACAGTGCAGAAGGGGAGGACACTAATACAGGCAAATTGTCACAATTGAAGTTGCTCATTTATGACTTAAGAATTAGGTAGGTAGAATTCAAATGAGCTAAAATTATTTTGTATCTGGTCATGTCACTTTTATCTAGGCTAAATGTCTGCTTAGGCTAATGGAAAAATGGGGCTCTACTGTAGTTAATGAAGCAAATCTATGCCTTCAGACTTTGTGGCATTTTTAAGTCTGATACAGTCTGTCTTTGTGCATTTAATTAGCTCACTGGTATCTGTATTAATGGAAAAGAAAACCCCTAAAGAAAAGTTAATTATTTGCAATGTAAAATTTATTTTTAGGTTGGCCTTGGACAATTGCACTTACACGGTGGGAGAGGAGTAGAGCAAAATCATCAGGTACCCTTTCTGTATATATTTTATGCATATTACCCATGGTGGAGAGCGAAAAAGTATAGCTGAGACCACAGTGAAGCAAAAGTGTTTTAATCGCTACTGTAAGGTATTTAATGATTTCAGTAGTTTGTTTGATAAAATTTAATTCATTCAATAAAATTTAATCTTTATGTGACTAATACATACAGCTGATCTTCTTACACAATCAGTTTTAGACTAATAATCTTAGAAGTGAGGAAGTCAGAAATAAAGACCAGGTTTTCACCAGGTACTACTTGAAACTGGCTGAATTTTTGTACATGTAGTAGAATCTCCATGACACATTGTCTGTGCATTAGCAATGATAGTCTAGTTTGTGGCTTGCAAGAATAATTTGCTTCTATAGGTAAAACAGTGCAACTTTCAATACTAAGGATAGTAAGTGCGCATGGAAAACAACTTTTGCTGATGATGGCCAGCCTACGTACTGCTCCTTATAGAAGTTAAAATAGTTAACCTTTTCTTAAAGTATGTATTGGAAAAAATGGACAACTGAGGATGTGCGGTCCTGATAATTATTGCAAACTCTGCTACTGACTAGAAATTATTTAATGGTCATAGCATTTAAAGTACCTTAAAACGATTGCTCTAGAAGGGTTCGGAGATCGTCAGTGGGTCAGAAACAGTATAACCAATCTTTGTGTAAAACTGAATAGGAACTGGCATATCCATCTTCTCCTAAACAAGGTTTTGGAGCTACAATAAGGGAACAAAATTTATCTCTGTTGCTTCTGCATAGTAGCAGTTGTGGGAGTTTTTTGTGGGTTTTTTTTTTTTTGCTGTTTCTGTTTTTGTTTGTTTTGGGGTTTGTGTGGTGGTGGTGGTGGTGTTTTTCTCCTCTGCTAAGTATTGTGATTATAAGTGGGGAACCACCCTGTTACGTATATTAAATTAGGTGGGATCCATAACTCTTGTCCCCAGAAGAACCTGGTAACTTGGCAAACAGCTTCTGCTTCATTTGCAAGAAAAGGTATTCAAATCATAGTCATGGTGGCTAAAATTCTTATTTTCTTCCCTACAGCGAGCATTTGAGTACTTCAATCAAGCAGCTAATGCTGGCAATTCACATGCCATGGCTTTTCTAGGAAAGGTAAGATGAACACTCTCACAAGCAAGCAAATTGGCTGTCTTTCAAGGAAAAATAACAAATATTTCCTACTTTCTGATATCAGGCAATATGGAACTTTAATGCTGGATTTGAAGCATTTCTATTCTGCTACGGGTTTGAATTTTCTTTTTTAGTCTATTATGTCTAGCCTAAATTTTCTGCTTTAGAATTTTTTGTCTTTTCAAAATAGTGCTTGAACTAGATTTTAAAAAAAAAAATCAAATTGTTAAATACCTAAATGTCATTTTTCTGTGGTAGAGTTCAAAATTCAGAGTAGGCCTCTATGCCCTCCAGTGTATGGACAAAAGTTTGTCAAAATTTTGCTTGTTGGGAAATAAAAAGGCCAGGAAGGAAAGGAGAAAGACATCTGTATTCTTACTCGTTGTAGAAAACTGAGGCACCTCAGTCAGGGTTGCCAATGGGTCTTCATGTACTCTGAACCAAAGCTTGAGTGTATCTCCAAGGTGGGCCATTGTTTCAGTTTTCTCAGATTTAAGTCCTTATTTAATATAAGACATGATAGACAAACTGCTAATGGTGATGTTAATATCTTATATTTAGGTATTTAGGTCACTTGCCTGAGATCTAGGTTGCAGGGGTAGCTTCGCCCTCTGAGGAGCGAAATCCTTATTACTCTATTTTAGTACACTTTAAGGTTAGGCTGCAGTAACCAGCAGCTCTAGCTCATCTTCAGGCTGTCACTGCAGTAGAGATGCAAAATTCATGTCCTTAGAGCATGAAAAAAAATAATATGCTGGTCAAGGCACCCAACAGAAGGAATTGCAGGTTTCTGCTTTCTCTACTGCTTGAGTGGTTTGTATCTAATAAATGCTGAAATGAACAGGGTTTAATAACTAATTTTTGCTTTGTTTTCAAGATTTTTTTTAACTGCCAGTGTAGTTTGACTTCCACTCATCTTACAAAATTTTTGCTTGATTGTGTTCTTTACCACACACTGGTAGAACTCAAAGTTGAAGGGTATTATAATGAAAACTTTCTAATTTTATGGGGAATTCAGTCTCCATTTTGACAGTTAAACCCTCTGAATCTGAATTTTGCAGTATACAGATCTTTTCTGCTTCTGGACAAGTTCTTTAATGACTCTTCAGTAATGCAATAGTCAGAATAGTCCAATACTCATACACAAAGCGAAGATGGTTCATGATCTCCATGCTAAACTGACTTCTTCAGTTGTTCTTCAGTAACACGTTTCCCTTTCAGATGTATTCAGAAGGAAGTGATGTTGTACCTCAGAGCAATGAAACAGCTCTTCAGTATTTCAAGAAAGCTGCTGATATGGTATGATTTTTAAGCTAGAAATACAGCATATGTACTAAAAAGCTGATTAGCTCAGAAATGATGCAAATGCTCCTTTTTGTGCACTTCTGCATGCATATACCTATGAACACTGACGGAACACTGGAACAGGCTGCCCAGGGAGGTTGTGGAATCTCCTTCTTTGGAGACATTCAAAACCCGCCTGGACACGTTCCTGTGTAACCTTATCTAGGTGTTCCTGCTCCGGCAGGGGGATTGGACTAGATGATCTTTTGAGGTCCCTTCCAATCTCTGACATACTGTGATACTGTGATACCTACACTCAACTTCTTTCCCAGATTAACCCATAATTAAAACCTTCTTGTGTGAATATGTCGGAAACTGCCTCCAGTTGTCATGGTGGTTAATGAAGCTATGTTCAGTACAAGGAGTCTAGCTGTCATGAATGCTGGCATCAGTATGAAATACTGACCACCTACCTAGCCTGACATTCTGTTAAGTGTTAGTTTTCATTAATCTGAAGCTATATTGTCACAGCTGCTTTTAAATTGAAACGGACTCTCAGATTTCCTGTGGTGGTTTTGGGAGCTTCTGTAGCATCTGGAACATTCTCAAACTTGGAAAACCAGAAGAAGAATAAGCTATTAATGCCCCACCTTTCTGTGAGTGTGGGTTATTCATTTCATATGACAGTTTGAAAGTGCACAGTAGACCTTGGTAACTGGCATTGAAATTTTTCCTTTTTCCTTTCCATTACCTGTGTAGTTACTGAATAAAAGTTTCCAAAGATGCTGTTTTCTGCCTAAATAACTGTTATGACCTAGAAGCAAAGTTAAAGCAAATACACCTTAAGCAATGCTTGTTTTAATTATTTTTACAGGTAAATTTGAAAAATGCAGCTGTAGGTTTTGCCTTTCTTTACAGAAGTGTTTTTCTGTGTTTTCAGGGTAACCCAGTTGGACAGAGTGGATTAGGAATGGCTTACCTTTATGGAAGAGGTGTTCCAGTGGTAAGTCATCTTTGACTGGAGGAACAGTTTGAAGTTTTTAATTAGTTCATGTGCCTTGTAGCTTATCCCATGAGAAGGTTTCTTGTCAAATGTTTTATATTTAGCTATGTGAACAGATACTCAAGTTGTTTTAGCCCAAAGCTGAGAAACTAAGTTAAATGATTGTTCTAGAAACAGAACAGGGCACCCATTCTGTGACACGTAACTCTTGATAGCAATTCTATATGCCAGTTTTGAGATAACTACAGACTTGAGACATGCCAATATCATTGTAGGGTTTTTTGTTTCCAGATTTTGACCAGGTGAATAGAACATTTTGCTGTAATTTTTTTTCTGTAATGCAGATCTGTCCTTACATATGAGTACACGCCTATTGTCTGTCTTTATGTAAATTGTGGTGTATTGCAAGGCTCTAATGAGGGGACCAAATCTTCCTGCAGAACTATGAGCTAGCACTGAAGTATTTCCAGAAGGCTGCAGAACAGGGATGGGTTGATGGACAGCTTCAACTGGGTTCCATGTATTACAGTAAGTGGCATCAAAGTAATGGTTTGCCAGGTCTGAGCATCTGCCCTTTCAGTAACTGTTCACTAGATGGCATTAGAAGTGTGTGTGTGTGTGTGTGTGTGTGTGTGTGTGTGTGTGTGTGTGTACTGTTCACTAGGTGGCATTAGAAGTGTGCGTGTGTACGTGTGCGTGTGTACGCACACATATGCAGCCTGTAGTGTGGTCTAACTAGATTGACTTTATATTTTATTGTTTTTTCCTAACACTTTCACAGTTTTATTTAATAATTCTAAAGACTAAGTACATACTGTATTTCATACAGTTTTGCTTTTCAAGAGGAATTAATAGCAATGACTGACTCTTTCTTTTAGATGGCATTGGAGTAAAGAGAGACTATAAACAGGCCTTGAAGTATTTCAACTTGGCCTCCCAGGGTGGCCATATTCTTGCATTTTATAATCTGGCTCAAATGCATGCTACTGGCACTGGAGTGATGCGATCCTGTCATACTGCTGTTGAGGTAAGGTCATCCATTTATAAGGGTCAAATAATACTGGCTTGAAGAAAGTTGGGTATAACCACGTCAGCTTATGTAGGAAATCTGTCCTGGCTAAAATCCACTGGTGACTGCAGAGCCAGGGCTAACAAAAGGCAAAGTGATATATTATTTTGTGTATCTCACGAGAAAAATCTTTATTTTCATATGTTGATATGGCAAGTTTGTATTTGCTTTATTAACTACGAAGAAAATTAAAAGAATGTAATACGAAGTAAATACCAGTAACTACCCAATTCTTCATTTAAGCATGTGTTTAAGTGTAACAGAAAAGCTCAGTAATTCTCGGTAAGCATCTGAATCTTGGCATGTGTTTGCTTAGTAACCTGTATCTTGAAGTGAGCCTGTCTTAAGCAGTGAATTAATCTATCAAGTTTTTCCTGAGAAATGTGAATATTTTGAACAGGCATTTGAATGTTAAAGGTTGACCTCTTCTAAAACCTAAATTTCTGAAGTTCCTAACAACCAGTCTTCTGCCCCATTTGTTTTATTCCCCTGCAGTTGTTTAAGAACGTATGCGAACGGGGGCGTTGGTCTGAAAGACTTATGACTGCCTACAACAGCTATAAAGATGGTGACTCAAATTCTGCTGTGGTTCAGTATCTTCTTCTGGCAGAACAAGGCTATGAGGTTGCACAAAGCAATGCTGCTTTCATATTTGACCAGAGTAAGGACCTGAATCTATTGAATTTTTTCTGGAGTTGGCCTGCAGTAGCCCATTTAGTAGAATGCTAGGATGCTTGAAGATACAATTACTCTCATTCAGTTAGAACTTCAGTGAGATTCTTGTCCTCTTGCTTGCTCTTCATACTGGAAAGCAGTCAGTTTTAATTTTCACCTCTAAGGACAGCTTTCTGGCCTAAAAGAATACTCTTACATTCTGATTTACAGGGTTTAAAAATGGGATGGGGGAGAATGCTTTAGAAGCTTGCACAGTGTTGAAAAGTCTCTTCCCTGGATTTCCTGAACATAGCCTGAACATTTTTTTTTTAAAATCTGTGAAGTAGGAAAAGTAGGAATTGCATTAGTTTTACCTTTGGTCTTTACTGTGCCTTATCTACAAGCTTTGGTTTTCTTTGGTTTTTTATCTTGCAGTGTCTTTTCCCAGCACTCTTCCCTCCCTGTCCCTAGAAGTTTTTTGTAACTTTACTCGTACTGCTCTTGAAACTGGGATGAAGAGCTGGGCAGTTAGTTCTTAGACTTGAAAAAACTTGTCCTAGATCTCTTAATGCAAACTAGGTGGCTAGAACTTGGATTTCTTGGAGTCTGAGGTCATAGGGAAATAATGGAAGTACACATGACATCTTTCTAGAAACTACAAAACCCAGTATTTAAAACTTTCTGGATCCCAAATCCAGAAATTTAGGACTCCTATTATAATCTTTAGGGCTTTGTATCTTAATATAAAAATTAGCCTATCATCCACCAATAGATGTTTTAACACAAAATTAAGATTTCATGTTAATGTTTTTCAGAAGTGCCCTAGTGACTCACCTTTAGATAAGTTACATCAATTACATCTTGACTCAGAATGTGTACTTGCAAGAAAATAACCTCTTTCCCTGAGTTAAAATTCTGATTGTGATTACTCAGATATATCGACATTTTGACTGGAGATGAATTTAAAATCATTTTATATACTTTATACAGAAAATATATATGTCAACTGTGAGATAGTATAGCTGAAACCATAATTAACAAGACGTGAAAAAGAGTTTATCCTATAGACTGTCTGAACTCCTGATACTTCATCAACTCTCAGTTTATAACATGAACAAGTAAAATAACTTCTGTTCTGAAGTACCTGTAGCACCATTGTGTAGAATATTCACTCGCTGCTGAATAAAGAGTTTAAGCCTTTGTTTTATTTGACTGGTCTTGGGGTTTAGATGATCAGACTGTAGGTTATACTTTAGCCTTGTATTTGAGTGCACTTTTCTCAGAGCCCAAATTGTGTGCTCTTAAGACTTGCATCTTCTGGCATTCCTCAAGTATGCTTCAGAATTAACCACAGGAATGGGAGAGAAACTTGGTAAAGAATATTTCAGGGTGAAATAATACAATTTGTTCCTAGTTCTTCTGTGAGCAGATACATGGAAAGACCATATAAATGAGAGAGTCTTTTATAAGTGTCAGATGCGTTGAATCTTGTTTGTGCTATAGCACAGATGACTTCAAGTTTTTAATACATTTCAGTGGATTAACTATAAGCATAGGGTTGTGGGGTTTTTTGTGGTATTGTGGACACATACCATGCTCCTATTTAACTGAATTACTTTCCCCTCTAGAAGAAGCCAGCATAGTAGAAGAAAATGAAACCTATCCTCGAGCTTTGCTTCACTGGAATAGAGCTGCTTCTCAAGGTATATCTGTACCTCACAGTTCCAATTATTTTATTTTTAGTAGAGCCATTAATGTTTGTTTTCATGTGTTTTTTTTATGAAACGGAGGGAAAGCTTACCTCCTTCAGTTCAACATTAGTTGTATTTGACATAATGCAGTTGCTGTTCTTCGTTCCACTCTCAGCTATAATGCCATTGCAGAATGCATGCAGTTCTGAGCTGTTCTGAGATCCTGAAGCCTTAAAGGTCTAAAACACAGCTGTACAATGTGTTTCTTTTGCTGTGCCATACAGAATTATAGAGCAGTGTTAAATAGCATTAGAAATGTTTACACTGATTTTTCTAAAAATGAATCCACTTGGAAAATAGATACAAAAGTACTCTTCAGGATTTTGGTACTTGTCATATTTCTTACTCAAAGCTCAGCCATGAAGAATGCAGTCTTGATATCCAACAAACTGAAGTTTAAACTTTGGTGGTCATGATCCTATACTAAAATAAGCAAAACTAAACTTAATCGTGAAGTATCTCAGTGTGAGGTTTCTAACTTCCATACAGGTGCATCTTCATTGTCTGTCTACTGGCTTTTTACTTAGGAGCAAGTGCATCATGTAAATGGAGCCAAAGAATTTTGTCTGAAATTCTTCAGACCTACTTGGCTTTTAGTAGAAAGTTAGAAATTGAGATAGTTAAATGGTTAAGTATTCAATTACCAAATGATGATGAGAAACTTTATTTTTCAAGTTTTAGATGCCTCTGTTTCAAAAACAAAGACAGAGCCCTTACTGACCACATAATAAATCAAAAGTTTTTCTGTAGTAAGTGACTATGAAAAACATGACAAAGCTTTTCAACTGATGCCACTAAATAGCAGTAAAAATATTGGTAGGATTACTGGGGAAAAGACTTCCCTGAAAATAGAAATTAGTTGTGCTGTGGTTAGCTAAACCAAATTAAAAATAAACAACCCAACAAAACCAGACTGTCCATGAGAGAGGGAAAAGGGAGACAATTCGTGGAAACTGTAAAAAGTAATACTAAAGCCTTTATTGCATCTTCCTGTGAAACTAGCAAGGCTTTCTTTGCCTACCTATCTGATCTTTTTTGTTGTTTCTTGATTTATAGGATATACTGTTGCAAGAATTAAACTTGGAGATTACCATTTTTATGGCTTTGGTACTGATGTTGATTATGAAACTGCATTTATTCATTATCGACTGGCATCAGAGCAACAGCACAGTGCTCAAGCGATGTTTAATCTGGGCTACATGCATGAGAAGGGGTTGGGCATCAAACAGGTGAGTAAGCTGTAGGCTAATAGTCTGCTTTTTTACAGCACATTTACTAATGTTAGATTAATTCCATAACCGCTACTGGGCTTTGTGCACTGTATAACCAACTGCTTAGTAGGAATTAGCATATCTCCCGATACGTTGTCCTGTAGCAAATGGATAAGTATATCCACTTCACACTTGCCTATGTGAAGAAATGAGGCATAGACAGGGAAAAAACTATTTGCCCAAGATTGTGAGGTTTGGCAAAAAGAGTGTCATATGCTTGAGTAATGCTTTCGAGACTTTGAAGTGTAATGAAATGAATGCATATAGTTTCCAGGTTCAGAGTATTTTTGGCACAAGATTGGTATTGGTCCAGAGTATTTTGGTATCCTCCAAAACACTGGTTAATTTGTTCTCTACCATGACTTTTTGAAAACAAGCTCGTGCATCTTCAAGTAACAAGCCATAAGCACAAACAACGACGTGATTATTAGCTATGGTTTTTCAAATTAGGCTAGGCCAGTTTGCTTTGCAAAGTACATTCCCTAAAAGAAAGCAGTGTATCTGGTTCTCTTAGGTAGGAAGCCTAATGGTGCATTGCTGTCCAAGAGTTAAGTGAAAATTTTGCAATCCAGAGCAATACATTCTTGTATGTGTCAAAATAATGTAATTAATAATTGCATGCTAAGTTTGAGCAGCCTACCTTAATGTTCAACTAAGGCATGCAATTTATGTAAGTTTAGCAGTATCTTCTGTGTTACCTGAAACTGCAAAAAATTGGTCTCATTTTCCTTATTTCCAGTGAGCTTCAACATTTGCTTTTTTGTGTAGGTACCTCTTGGTAATTGTTGGTCTATTGGAAGACCCATTTTTGTTGGTTTTCCCCTAAATTCGTGGCAAAAGGTCAGAATAGTGAAGGACAAGTCGTAAGGTCAATATTGTTACTTTGGGAGCACCAAGCAATCAACATTTGAAAACTGTTTACTGAGCTAGCTGTAAAAGTGACAATACAGTACACAAACAGCATTACTTCTAAAGCTTATCTTCTGTTTTTATTTTAGGACTCTTTTCTAAAAGCAGCAGTGCTATGGATTTTTTTATTTTTTTTTTTTTAAACACACCTTTCAGGCATGAACTTTTTTCATTTCTTTTGCTTCTGCCTTGAAAACAGCCCAATTTAGATCACATAATGAAATTTTGAAAATACTGTAACATCACGTTCAGTTCAACTGCGAAGAATATGAGAAACCTGAGTCCTGATGCTATATTTGCATAGAGTAATTCTCCAACCTGAAGCAGACATGGCTACACATAGATAGCTGAAATGAGTATACAAGGGCTCATGATGAGCATGTGCAGCCTTGCTTTATGCAGATGAATAATACCTTCCTCTCATACAGATCCACTGTTGAAGGAAGAGTTAAACTGAAATGATGATAGTTAATACAAATATGGGAAAGAAGCACTGAGAATGTTTAAGCAAGGAAGTTCCACGTATAAAACTGGACTTGGTAATTCTGGATGCGTAAAGTCTTCACTTGCTGCATCCTAAAACTCTACAACTGTAAGATGAGAGGATGGAGATTTAGGGCTGACTAAATAAGACTAGGGCTGGGCTTAGGATATTCTGAAAAAGGCTAGGACTGAATTTTGAATGAAGCAAAAGAATATTTGGCTTCTTCTTCCCAGAATGGACGCTGTTGAATTTTGAGCACCAAATGGCTGACAGTTTAAAAAAAAAATCATGCTTCCTGATGTAGCAGGTAATACGTACCACTGAAGTCTGTTCTTTCACTAGAGGCCTCTGGAAAGGACATACAAAGATTTTTCAGCACTGTGGTATCTAACAAATTGTGATTTTGTCGGTCGAAGGCAGGGATGTGTACTCTTGCTTCCTCCCCACCTGTGTCCACATCATTAAGACTAGAGGCCCTCTAAAGTTAGGGAGAATGATCCAATAAGGTGGCCTGCACAATTTCCATTCAGGTCACTGTTCACTCTGGTTAATCCTGCATCAATATGGTATTTTTTTACTGGGTTTTGTTTGGTTGGTTTTCTTTCCAAACAGCTTTTACCTTATTCTTCTTTACTTGTTGAATAAATTGTCTTTCCTCCATACAGTATTTTATGCTATATCTCCTCTACATAGTTGGTTTTCAGACTCATACCAGGTCAATGCCAAATATTAAGCCCTTTCAAAAATCCTCACACATGTACACTGTTACACACTTTTCATAGATTGAAATCTTTGATTTGAATATTGAAATCTTTGATTTCAATAGATTCATAGATTCTATAGATTTCATAGGTTCAATCTATGAAAAGTGTGTAACAGTGTACATGTGTGAGGTTTCAGGTTGTCCAGTTCCTGAGCGTGCATGTCGAAATGAAGACTGTTTCCATATACTGCTCAAAATAAGAACAAATTAATTTTCTCATGGTCTTCTCTTAAGATTTGGCATGGTATTTCAGTGCCATTTGTGTATTAAAGTTCAGATTCCAATAGTACTCACTGTCAAGTGAGAGTGAAGAGTGTATAAGCAGAATGAAGTGCGTGCTAATTAGAAATTAAAATAAGCCATGATTCTGCTTCTATGCTGATACTACCACAATATGAAGCAGATAAGGAAACTCTTTTAAATGGTCTTTAAACAAAACACAGTCTTTACAGGCTCAAGGATTATTCAGAGTTGTTTTATTAAATTAAAATGCTAAAATTGTGAGCTAGTACATCTCATTCACATAATGTGATTTTCATACTGTTATTTCCACATGTTATGGAACCAAGCTTTACTGTATCAATGAACAGAAAATCTTTATGGTATTTCATAATCATGATAAAATTATAAAATGAACATGTGGCATGAAGTCCTGGAGATTTCTGTTAAGTGTCCAACTTGGAACAGTTCTAGAGGTAGGTCTTACACAGGCCTGCCCTACATATCACTGAGTGAACATAAGCAGCTTATATCCAGGTATCATAACATTGCACAGTGTGTGTCTGAAGTGAAGCCAATAAAACTCCCCAGAAAAAGGAAAGTTAAGCTGTTCAGATACATGTATCCTCTGTTCTTCCTACAGTTATCTTCTTATTCCAACTACTACAAAAGAGAACAATAATTTAAGCTCTTCCTAAAGTTTGTGCTCATGCTCTTGCCAGGCTCCCCTCATTAATGCAAGTTATGTCCATTTTGGATAAGGAGCGAAATCTAATTTAGGAGTACATGCAGAAATGGGTAGAAGCTGCACTATGCAGCATGAATACTCTGGTATAACTGGGATGGGTTGCTGCTTTGTACTCTTTCATGGCTTGTGCTTTCATAGTCTTTCATGTTTGGTGTGGTATTGGAGATGATATAGTGTACCAGAGTTACCGAAATATGTGCCTTAGTTTACAGTGCATGGGTTGAATATGAATATGAATCTCTTTGTCAGTTTCAATTCTAGCATCAGCTCAAAGCTTCCCTTTACTTGTCTAATCAAAGGTGAACATACCTCAAAAAAGGTGTAATTTTACTGAATGGATGTTTAACTTGATGGAAAACCTTGCATTCAAATGACAGTATGCAGTAGATTATAGTAAAAGTTCTATATTTTATGGTTAATTTTTCAAGTTCTTCAAAATTGAGCTTTGTATTTTCTTAACTTTAGGATCTTCATCTTGCAAAACGTTTCTATGACATGGCAGCTGAAGCAAGCCCAGATGCTCAGGTTCCTGTCTTCCTAGCACTTTGCAAGCTTAGAGTGATTTATTCCTTGCAGTATGTACGAGAAATCAATGTAAGTTATGCAGAATTAAAAAAAAAAAAGCATCAAATGTGTTTTCCATTTTAAAAGAAGCTTGCCTTGTAATGTTACTTAAGCAGAAGTGTAAACTTGAGCCTTCTGAAAACTTTAGATGTGTTTTGTTGTTGTTTGCTAAGAAAGCTACTGAACCTGTGATGCCTATTTCTTACTTGTGCAACTGTGAAAAACTGAAATGGGCACAGCTGTTCTTCCCTTGACGAGAATTTCCCTAACCTGTTTCTCTGGTCTTATCCATGACTATCTGCTATCGAAGTTAAGCAGGTAGCAACTGGTATTTGTACGTGAAAAAATGTTACAAGTCAAATTTAAAATCAAAGTAACTTCCCATTCTTTCTCTTTGGCATGATGATGTGGACTTCTTGTTTTCTAGATAAGAGATGTATTCTCGCATGTTGATATGGACCAGCTGCTGGGGCCTGAGTGGGATCTTTACCTTATGACCATCATCGCCTTGCTTCTGGGAACAATTATAGCTTACAGACAAAGGCAACATCAGGCAATTCCCAGACCAGCAGGACTGCGGCCAGCTGTGCCTCAACAAGAGCCACCACCAGAGCATCAACCGCCACAATAGCAACAAAAGCCTCAGTGAAAGAACTGGATTTTTCCAAAAGGAACAATTTTCATTGTGATTTAGGACTTTGGATCAATGGTCCCTCCCCCAAAAGAGGCGCAAAGAAGTTGAGGAAAACAAAAAAAGTCTGAAAGCTGCTTAGAATGTTGCCTTTTTTCAGGGATAAGAAAATTCTGTTGAAACTGATTTGAATGTTATTTCAGTGCCAATGGAATAACACTATGGCTTTTTTTCATAGAAACACAAGAGTGCTACTACAAAATTGTTGCCTGCTGTATCTAGTTCCTCTTTATTCAGAGTCTTTTAATCTCCTAGAGATAGCAGAAGGCTAGCAATGAAAGGCTTTTGCCTGCTTGATAGCAGTTGCCCTCTACAAAAGTAAGAACAATTTTATGGCCAATTCAGGTCCCTAGAAGCTGAATGATACTGAAACTCTAAAAATACTAGAGCTGTATAAATTTATATTCGGATCTCCATCCCAAGTATTTCTACAATCCTTATTTAATTTTCTTAATATTTCCTACACTTCGGTCTTTTATGCTGCCATGGTGGTTTAACATGGGTTATTTATAAACTCTGTAAAACTAGACAGCAAACATACCACTCTCTATTTGTGCTTTTTTGTTTTGAGTATTTTCCTCTGTTCCCCTTAGACTAGACTAGACAGTTCTCAGCAGACAGTATGTAGCCCAGGAGGCAGACTGGGACAGATTGGGTCTGTAAAGCTCATCAGTTGAGAACTATACACATGGTGCCCAGATCTTGCATCCTTCTAGAACTTTTTTGGAGCCTGTGTACTTGGCAATACTTTATAACATAAAACCAAATTGGTAGTGTTCCTAAATTATTTAAATCTACAAAGAGGCTGTCTGGGTTGCAGAAAGCACCAGTATTATTGTGGACACTGAAGAAAGGACAGAACCAGAAATCTCAGTGAGTTAGCTTACTTTTTTGTTTGGTTTTAGAGGTGGAAGTTTAGTATTTAATTTTCAGCAATTCTGTAAGCGATCTACACTGCAACAGGGAAAAATATATTATCTCATGAATGCATCTGTTTAATGCATCTACAAAAAAGGGCCCCAGAGATCTTCACTAAATGCCAGTGATGCTACTGCAAAGTTTGGCTAACTGATAAAAATCGTATGTTAGATTACATCGATGCTCTGGCTGTCTCTAACCTCTCTTGTACCTGGCATACATGGGAAAGTCAAAATAACATTTGGCTGTGCCATCTGGAGGACCCCTTCTAACAAGAAAACCCAAAGAGAAAGATGACTTAATGGTTTATGGCTTTCTGATACCACCAGGTCATTGCAAAGGCCTTTTAATGAATGTAAAGAACATGACCCGTGGACTGATATTTTTGGACTGCAAGTGGAATCTTCACTTAGTAAGGATTTTCATTGATTTATAATTTCAGGATTTTGGAGGTGGGAAGCAGTAGGGAGTAGCTTAGAGGCAAAAAATGAAGTTTCTGTTCTTATTTACCAGTGGCAGTGAAATACTTGTTTCTGTACTAGCATTAAATCCTCTAGTGTCTTAAAGCTGAATGAAATACAACTGAAAATGAGGAGGCTTTAGCTGATTTATGAAAAAACCTGTTGTGTGTAAAGGGTTAAGGCTTCCTTTCATGCAATTTTTTTTCCAGTGGATTGGCAACAACATATCAGTTCACTTTATTTAGAATTGAGATTTTGTAATGGTTTCATACTTAGTACATTTGCAAGGAGACCATTGCACAATACAGCTGTAGTTTGGGAAAGGAGATCAGCAATACACCCTTTTGTAAACTGAAATGTCATGGATGACTAGTATTAAAGTATAGGTAGAACTTCTCAGTACTTCAAAATGCTTATGCTGGTCATGTGAAGACTGATCTTTTGTTTTCATTTAGAAGGTTGCAGCATGTGATAAAGAGTGTCTTGTTCAGTCTTAATCATCATTAGCAAATGGAACAGTATTGATCTTTAATCTGGTGTCTAAAGTGTACAGCACTCCCCAGGTGCGTTTCTAAAATGTGTGATTTCTGAACACTCCCTCTGAAGTATTTTTGCCTCTGTCACTTAATAGCTTTTTTTTTTTAGCTTGGCATGAATAAATTTAAAGATTATATGGAAAATGTTTTTCAGTTAAATAACATTGGTTCATTGGTATTGGTCTGTTAGACATTTAACGATTTTGTTACTGCATTATTAAAATGTTTTGGTGATTTGATCTACTAGAACTAAACTCTGTAAGCTCTGTCCTATTTGCATGAGAATCTCTCATCATTGCTGCTATGTGACAGCCTTATAGCTGACTTTCAGTGAACCTGATGCATTTTTACATCCCAAGAAATCGGCAGAAGAAAGCGATTGAAGCTCAGCAAGTTATTTCACTTTAAAGAACTGCCTTTTGAAGAAGCAATAAGGAAGTCTTTCTCCTGCTTTTTTTCCCTTCCACCAAATTATTACCACTAATTTTTCAGATGACATTCATTTGAATGAAGTGGTAGTAGTAGAAAGGTACTTACCATGAGTAATGGTGAGTTAACTCAGGGATTAAAGAAATTAATAAATTCAAATCGGTCATCTCTAACATGAATTACATTTTTGTGACAATCCCTTGCTACTCAGTTCTGAAACTTGCATTTGAGGGTAGTTAACTCTTACTAGCAATATGTTTTCTTGTTGTGCACTCTGTTAAGCAGCTTTTTTCCTAAAGGAGCTGGGTTGCTCAGTTTACTGCAGTGAAGAACTTGTTCCCTTTGGTAGCATACAGGTTGTCTTGCAGTTTATATGCAGAAGTATTTTAGAAGGGAAACTTGATTTAAGAGAAGCCTTTCTGGTTACGTTCAGCATACTTTGAATGGAAAAATTGTATTCTTTGTAGTAATGTAGGCCAAAGCTTGCCTATTTGACCTTCTTGGCCACATGTTCTTCTTTCTTTGCACAGAGAATGAAACGGTTACAAAGCAGTGACTGCTGTCGGTGGGAGTTTTATATGTAGGACAACTGTGGAAAGAGAGGGGGAAAATGTCATTCTGCATCTCAAATTATTAATCAGATCCACTTGCTGGTTGAAAAAATGCTGAACTGTTGAGAAAACAGGATTGTAGTTCATCACTCTGAAACCTGTCCCAGAGCTGTCTGCTGAAATACTTTCGATTTTTTGTTTTTTGCTTTATATTGTCCATCATGGCGTAATGTAACAGAAGATAAGGCTTTTGATACAAACATCCCAATAAAACTGTTGTGAGACAATTTTACTCAGTTTTTAGTTATCTTCCATAAGTCAGCTGCTCTTAAGAAAAAACAAAACCAAAACCACCCAGCTATCAGATGTTACTCTTTTTTGAGAATATTAAAACACGGATTGTGAAAGGACTTTTAAGACTATGCATTATCTAATTTACACCTATTATATGCTAGTTTTGGTCTATAAAAGGGGAATACACTATAAAAGGGGAACACACCTCTGCAAGTTGCTTCCTTTTTTCAATAGGCAACAATGAACTGAAATTCTATTTTTGTTTCAGAGAATATTAAACTCAAAAGATTTAGTTTGATTTGAACTACTGCAAATGCATATGGCAAATAGGAACTATTGGGGGGAGCCCTTTGTTTTTATCAGCTGCAGCTCTTTAAAGGGTCTTGTAGGAGTTTTGTAAATTTATTTTGTATTTAAAATCAGTATAAAGGCTGGTCAAATGTAATATATTTGTGTAAACAAATTCTGTTAATAGAAAGATGTACAGATTCATTTTGTACTGTATCTTTAATCTTGTGAAATAAAGATACCACCGATGTGGTTACCCTCAGTGTTCACAGTGGTTATGATAACAAAGGATGTGCCTAAATGAATCCTGGATTCCTGTAAGGATACTTGCACTTCTGTTCCACTTCAAAGATAAAATAAATGTTAATTTTGGAGGTGCACAAAAAGGGGAATAGAAAATTATGCTTCAGTTGTGCTAGAAACTTGCCCTCTGTATATGTGTGCATGTGTGACCCTTTCTTCAGTGTATATGGTGTCCATAATGCGTGTGGCAGACCCAGAGCTGCTGTGTGGTTTGAGAACAGTGACCAGTATCCTTAAGACTACTATTGCATTGTCAGTTGTAATACAGGGAAAATACAGTGTCTAGAAACAGCTAGTGGGAGAGGCACTGCTCCAAGTAGACACGTTTGTTCACTTTTTAGGCCTTTTTCAACCTACTCGTCCCTTCACGCTCCACTTGTTGGACACTTGATTCCCTCCCTCGTAAATTTATTATGTTGGTTTGCTTTCCACTGTGCTTGTTAATTTGGAAGAAAACAATTAGGGAGAAGGAAAGTATGGAGGGTGAAGGAGCAACCATAACAGCTACAGAAGGCATCAGTAGGTGAACAGCCCGAGTTACTTAGTTCTCTGAAGTATCTGGAGGCTCCTTACCACTTTGCAGGCAGGAAACAACTGCTGGTGCTAGAACCAGCCTGGGTCTGCCTGGTGTAGCTAAGCGAGACCATCCCTCACCTTGCAAAAGAGTCTCTGGCTTGAGATGCAATGTGTTCAAGGTCAGAAGAGTAAATACCCTATCTTGCCTGTAGCCTGTATCGATAGGGACTTGTCTTCTATGGTGGGCACAGAGTACCAAGCACATACACAGCTGTGAAAGTGGGAGAAGCGTTGGATTTGTCTGTTTTGGGGGGTTTTGTCTTTGGATTATTTTTTTTTTTGGGGGGGGAGGGAGGGAGATGGGGGGTGTTTATTTTTTAATAAAGAGCCACTGAATAATGCTCATCAAAACCCAGTATATTTGGTTTGGTTTCCTGGCTTGGTTGGTTTTTATGCTGCTTTCTTCTCATTCTAAAAAACTTACAGTAAAATGAAAATATTAATAGAAAGTGTAGTTTGTAAACCTGTGACACCTGACCCATTCATGCGTTATTTGGTATAATACCAAAACGTTCTTCCTCATCACTAAATGACCATTTGCTTAATGGCATTTCTGAATCCTGATTTCACTTCCCATGTTCATAAAGAATTATTGAGGAAGAAGTCATTCTAGTCTGTTTGTTGCAAAAAACAAAATATCGTGAGACTGTAAATGACTTTTTCTGAAGCTAAGTTGAAGGAGGTGTACCGTCATTCCAGGTAATACTTAGAATCATAGAATAGTTAGGGTTGGAAAGGACCTTAAGATCATTTAGTTCCACCCCCCCTGCCATGGGCAGGGACACCTCTCACTAAACCATGTTGCCCAAGGCTCTGTCCAACCTGGCCTTGAACACCTCCAGGGATGGAGCATTCACAACTTTGCTGGGCAACCCATTCCAGTGCCTCACCATCCTCACAGTGAAGAAATTTCTTCCTTCATATGGGAGGTGCTCCAGTCCCCTGATCATCCTCGTGGCCCTCCTCTGGACTTGCTCTAACAGTTCCATGTCCTTTTTATGTTGAGGACACCAGAACTGCACACAGTTGAGGTCTCACAAGAGCAGAGTAGAGGGGCAGGATCACCTCCTTTGACCTGCTGGTCACGCTCCTTTTGATGCTGCCCAGGATACGGTTGGCTTTCTGGGCTGCGAGCGCACACTGAAGCTGGCTCATGTTCATTTTCTCATCAATCAACACCCCCAAGTCCTTCCCCACAGGGGTGCTCTGAATCTCTTCTCTGCCCAGCCTGTAGCTGTGCCTGGGATTGCTCCGACCCAGGTGTAGGACCTTGCACTTGGCATGGTTACTTTAACATCTAGTCTTAACTTTCATTTTCAGAAAGAAACATAAGTGGTCATGGAGCACTGTTGTACTTGCATTTCAGGTAGGAAAAGGTAAATGTGATTTAACTTCCACAGCACAGTAGCTGAATTCTGTAGTAAGTTTCAGACAATGTTTTTACCCCCAAAGGTATCGGTGCCACTGCCAGTTGTTCTGGTAAGCTTTCCTGAGTGCATCAGTATTTCAGACAGACCTCCACTTTAAGGGGTAGGTTGTTCACAGTTTTATTTCTTAGCTACCCAACTTCTGGGGCTTTCCACATAACAGGGGCTTGCAATCCCAGATTTTTGAAAATAACTTGGAAGAAGATTATT